TGGAATCGATGCACAGGCTTTATGGAATCTATACAACTATATGCCAAGCAAAAAGAAAAATTATTAGAGAGTTCTGTCAGACGAATGCGCAATGATCTCGTAATTCCAGATGAATAATGGAGTAGGCACCTCAATTGAAAGGATGCTCAGGCACATTAATGAGCCCTCTAATAAGCACAGAAAAGCTTCTGAAGGAATCTCTCTCTGTACCTGCGAAATGCTAGGTCTATATTTATGCGTCCCATTGTCACCGGTATTAGCTGGGCATATTAGTCGGATGAACTTTCGAATCTACTTAAGAAGGCAGGAATCTAACCTCCTCGCCGTGCAAAATCGCGAAAAGCATCATTAGCGCAGTTATATGCAACAACACAAATTAATAAGCCTTTAGCTACGAAAAACATTTTGCATACTGCCCTAAATTGTTCATCATTTTTTTGCATTTCAAATACCAAAACGAACGGACTACATTCGCTAATCATTCGACACCTTTTGATGTTTTCTATTTTAATTCCAAATCTGCGTTCAAGATGGTCATCCATATAAAATTTTTCGATATCCTATCAAGCTACAGAACGGCCATGCCTTATCAGCTGAATAGCAGCCTTCTAACACCATTGTGGGCTAGCGAAGGGCTACAGTCACGCGGACAAACAGCGAGTTGCGTGGTTCTATCCTAGGACCGGATATTTTCATCTCTGATTTAAGTAACAGAGAAGCTTCTTTCAATCACTTAAATCCCGATATAACTATTGTGATGTATACTGATTGCATATAGATGTAATATCTGTGTCTACAATAGAAACATTCAAAGAAAAACAAAAAATGCGCTTAACATACTTTATATAACAATTAATTTACAAGTCTAAAATTGTAATCAAATCGGCATTGTACTTAAATCGATGAGTGGATACTCCACTGACAATAATTTGAGCTCAGCAAACCGAATATATGACCCTGACATACATTTACAAGTTACAATATTAACCAAACTCCAGTGTGACAATAAAGTATGGGGTATCATAGCATGGCTTTTCAAAAACAAATAGTGTTTTATGTTAATTAAGAGACACACTCGATATACAACTCAAAGGAACCTCGATTGAAAACACTTTATGCCACCTTTTGCCCGCAAACAGAGCATAGACATAGACGGGAATTAATAGCTGCATCGGCGTACTACATAGCGTTTCGAGATCCACGTGATTAATGTCGAAAATTTTCTAGAGCTAAAAAAAGGTAATCTTATTAGATAGATAATTAGACTTGATTTTGGTTCAAGAATCTCTCTGTGTCGGACAGAAATTTAGGGTCAGACTAACGCATCCGAAACCCGTTGGCCGTTCACAACTGAGATGATAGCAATAACAAATGCTTCTTGAAATAATCGTTCCGTATCTGATAAGTCTACGCCCTGTGGTCACTTTACTGTTCCAACTATGATGCCCGTGCTATAATTTGATGACATATCCTCTTGTTCCTCAAAATAATGCTTTCCATACACGCATACAATACCTCGTTGTTCAAAGCTCTTATTTCTAAATAACAAATAAGAAGCATTTTTATGTCTGTCAGTAGAGTAGTTGGTTCTGATATATTAAACTCCCATTGGCCGAATCGTAAATATACATTCAAGTGCATGCAAGCACGCAGATTGAATCTCCATTGGGCTGTGGCCTTTATGTATTGCTAAAAAGCAAGCTCAATTCTTAGGCAAAAAGCACACGCCTGCATCGCACTCTTACAGCAAAATTTCGCCTCCCCTTCTAAACTCAGGTCTTCCGGAGTCTGTATATTTCATACGGCCCAGTTCTCTCCAGAGTTCTCCATAAGAAGGAAGGAAGCAGCAGTGCATGCTTGCAAAATTCCTCCTGCTAACTTATGCTGCTTCGACAGTCTTCATCTGAGTAGGATAACGTTAACGGTTCCCTATCTCCGAATAGAATCTTCTCGATTTCGATAGCACTGGCTCGAAGCATTGATTAACATCATGCAGCATGAATGCCGCGCGTGTGCCATGCTTGGCGGTCGGGCAGACGGCGGGACGAAAGAAAATATCTTAGCCAGTGGAAGCCTATGCCTTCTATAAAGAGACCTCTCTCATTCAATATCTTACCACGGATCTAATGTAGCATCTTGTACGTGCGGTTGATCGGATTCAGTCCCAGCGGAGACCACAGCGTCCTCATCCAAATCGTACCCGCTGCACGATGCAATCCATTGTAATGAATATCCGTATGAATTAGCCAAGCTACCTATTGCTAGCGTGTCGGTCGGTCGACTGGTAAATCCGGAAGATTCTATCGGTTCTTTTAGTTAATATCCACAATATGTGCGCATATATTGAAATGGCTGGTGATAGTAGCCATGGTCAGAATCGTAAATTCAATTGCACTGAAGTGTAGCTCTAGATGAGGTAAAAGACGATGGTTTAACGATAAAACACTTGAATGGGGATATTATTCAAAGAAGAATTGAAAATTATTTAAATCTGTGCACGCAGATCTATTTTAGAGTTCGTATGCTAAAACGAAATTGGAAGCGATTCACATTTTCATACATCAAAAACATAAAATAGATGAGAATAATTATATAAGTTAATCAAAGTGAATCATCGGAAAGATTTGATCTTACTCAGATTACTTCTATTCGATTATTCTATCGGTTTTTCGTAGGTATTAAATTTGTCTAGAAATATTCGTTGCTCATTCAATTTTCGAGCGCAGGCACTGCAAAGCGTGAAAACGTAAGAATGATTTTTAGGTTCGAAGCCTACTTTTTCCATATCTTATACTTATCGATTTCGTCTATTCCTAATTCAATACCCGATGTCTAAATTTTGTCTCATATTGTCTCAACATGGTGCAAACTGTGACTGGGAAAACTGCGCAAAAATTCTGTAACCATTTCTTGTTCACACCGACAAGAGCTTACAAGGACATTTTACAATTTTTAATAAAAAAATTACATCTTGATGGAGAATTAAAGTCAAAGTTTTCACGAAATCATTATTGCCTTAATTAATTTAATAACATGGACATTTCTCTTTATCAGCAAAGGGGTTTTTATTTAAATGAATTGAAGGTAATTACTTCATTTTTAGTAAAAATAGTTGGAAAGGATTCTGACTTACAGTAAGATGAAGAAGATAAACAGAAAAATTTTATCTTGTAATAATAAAGAAGTGACTCTTGTTCTTTGGTAGCAGCAAAAAGCTCAAAAATATATGTAATAACTGTAAGGATGAACAATAACAATAATAATAAATGTAAAATAATTCAAAACTTGTAATCATAGGCAAAGAAAATTACTTTAACTCTTCAGATAAAAAATATAAAATGCTCTCCAAAATTCGTAAAAATACAAAATGTGGAAGACATGAATGAGAAGGATTAGACTTAACACATATTGAAGGTCAGTATATGATTAATCAAAGAGCCTGTCAAGATATATACCGAGCTACACACTAGCTGTTTATTTATGGCAGATAAATAGAATGCCTTTCAATGCGGGCTATATCCTAGAGAAATGCACGATGATTTCTATTACAGTATTAGTAAATTCATTTTTTATACTTTGTTTCTTGTATTCATGTGGTCTATAATTACTTTTTTTTTGGAATCATATGAACGTTATGCCACATCTAGCACATTTTCCGCTTGTAGGTAAATCTGAATTAAAAAGTAAATTAAGTTTTCATTTTGCGAATGAGGTCACTTTACGAGTGCATATCTTCTACTGTTATATAAAGACAGCTCAATAACGCAATTCGCTACTATTTGCACTTGCGGCAATTACCTTTACAAGTCTGTATGCTCTCTCGAAAAAAAAAAAACAGAAAATTTTAACTTCTCTCCTACCGTATTTGGTTGATGAAAGTAAAGCAGATATATTTTCGGTATCCTCTATAACGAGCTGAAACAAGTCACAAATTACAAATTGAAATATAATAGCAGACAAGCTTCCTCCTAAGGCAGTTACTGTTGGTAACAAATTTAGCCGACTTTAGTTAGTCCTCCTACAAAATGTTCACCGGATAGACTCTGTGTGTGTTTAGATATAAATTGGCAATTCATTAATATTATGAAATTTATTATTATTATTATATAAGACGAATTATATATCTTCTTATATTATTATATAAGAAGATTATTTTTTTCTTATAGAACCATTTTTACAGATGTGTCTATTTACATGTCTGTTTTATGTTCCGTTTGGTGGACGGTAGGCACGAGAGCAAAAAATATGAACTGCGTGTCTTGTTGTAAGAATTTTCCGTGTATGATGTGCAAGCCATCCTGCTCGTTGTAAATTATATCTTACATTTAATTATCAATCATGCCAAGTTGTGTTAAACCTTGTTTAAAATAAGAGCAACGAATTTTCTGTGTAACTTTCTCTAATGATCGCAAATGTATGAAAATATAATATATGTTTATTCGTCAGTGCTAAAAATTATCGGTGTACTGTCTGAGGCGGTGCACACGATAAACAACGGTGTAATAAAAAATGCCTTGTTTAAAGTCACTAGCAATCATAATTAAATACATCTATTCGACATGTTAGAAATAAAGAAAATGTAGCAACTAAGTAGATTATGGCTCGTCAGTTGTACACTACGTAAGCTGAATGAACAACAATCGCACTAGAGGAATCTGCAAGTAAGTATTTTCCTTAAACAACAACTTAATTTTGTGTAGTTATAGGTTCTTACCCATCATTCCAATTAATGAATGGTACTATTATACGAAATAGAAATATTACATTCAAATAATGACGGCATAAGATTACCATGTAATACTATTTATGTCGGCTGAACTATGGATCACTTAGTTACGTCAGGATAATAATGATTAACATCTCCACTTTCTAAAACACATAAATAGAAAACTCGTTTTGCTATTTTCAGACAATATGATTGTATATGGGCCTTATGGCATTCTTTATTTGCTTTAAAGAGTGGTAAATTCTTTTAAGGTTTATGCCATATGTATATATCAAGCTATAGTATGACTTACTAAAGAAAAAATCGCATATATGCGATTCGATAACATTCGATTTCCAATCAGTAAATTCTTATTTAAATAGATACGTCGCTTTACGGAATTTTACATTGAGCTTCTCTTCTTTTAACTTAAGCATTAACCAGTAAATTGGTAAAAGTACACAGTTGCACCTAATATTGAATTTTAGAAATTTTCAGCTTATGGATTGCTGCCAGTTTCTGTAAAAACTGTCTGATATATAAGAGTAATATTGTACCTTTACATTTGCGCAGCTGACATTAATAAATTAAAACGTGAAGTTACAACTGAATACATTTTTGGGGTCATTAATTATCACAATTTAGCGCTTTCAAATGCAAAATTTTCGTACAATTTCGTAACGACGTCCCTATGCATGACTCACTCGCGGTATAATTTTAAATAAATCCGTCACCTGCGAAATACATTTAAATGACGAATTTACGCAGCGACAGCAGCTGAAATAAATATATCAAATAATATATATAAATACATATGACTGGCCGCCTTTACTCGTGTCTATATTGGTTTTCAGACCAAACTTTGCAAAGGATTTGCAGATATCTGTTTGCCTCATTTTAAAACAACGTTTGATTATTTTAAAATGAAGTAGAAGTAAAACCTGTCAGCGTATTTGGATTTTTGTGAATATCTTTCAGTACTGAGAACAAGGCACTTCTTTCCCTTTAATGCTTAGCTTTGGTTTAATACAAAAACGTTGATAAAGATGCGAAAATATGTTGAATACATAGTACTCATGAACTGATAATTTTATTATCATTAACGTTTTAGCCATGATGGTTTGATAAATCTGCGAACTATTATTATATAAACAATATACCCTTTATACTAAAAAACACCAGTGGCGATGAGCTAGTCTCAGGTGCTTCGATTATATTGATTGTGCCATTTGTTGATAGGGTGCGCCAAATGGTAATTTATATGGAGTTCAGTTTAAGACTACTTAGAAGATTGTAGCATTAGTTTGTCATTCTTATGGTCTAGAGCTACTGAAAGAAGTTTTGATTTATGTGCCATCGTAAAAGCGAAGGTAGAATCGAAGACGACTGCTTATTAATACTAATTAATATAAGCTTTCTTTCATAATTCTCTGGAACATAGTTATTGATAGTTATTGCGAGGAAAACATTCGTTTCAGTTTTATAAAAGTTCCGTGGTGACCGATAACAACTAATACATGGGATAAATTATTTTGGCATACTGTTCATGGATAGCAGTTCGTAGACCGAGTCTAATTCGTGATACTAAAACAAATAATAAGGACCACTTTTCTGCGCAGCCATGATACGATTAAAGTTAGAGAATACGTTTCTTGGTTGTGGTACTATGTGACCCAATAAAGTAACTAAAAAAATTAAAAAATTACATAATCTCTCTAAATAAGTCATAAGTCAGTTAGAAACTATAAAAGAAGTTTACAGGCCGAAGAATATATGAACCGTATGAGAGATCAATATGTAATCTGCGTATATCTAACCATAAATCTGCGTATATCAATATGTATTCTGTTGTCTGCGATAAGTTTATACCTAACTGAATCGACAATAGATCACAATTTATTGAACAGTTCATTGTACGCGATGTATGTAGGGTCTCTGTTCTTAGGGAAAATATTCTTCCCCTAACAATTGATTACTTGCAATTAGTTTTAGAATTTCACTCGGATTGTGGACATGCTTTGATTTAAACAGAAACTCAAGGTGGTACACATATTTATTGTTATTGACGTTTCTGACGAACAACATTGACTACAGAGAAGACAGAAGTTAGCTGTTTTTGTTTACATCCATATTTGAGTAATTTTAGTTTGCTAATATATAAAGATTGTTAAATGTAAAAACACTGAAAAACTTTTATGATTACTTTTGTGCTGCCTCTACTTACTTCTTCACAATACGTTTACAATATAGGGCACCCAAATTTAACATGCATTCATCTGCTGTTTTTGGTATCGGAAGAAAATCAGTTCTTTCCGGAATAAAATGATAAATCCATCATTTTCGGTACCTGAGTATCCAATCTTCCCGCACTGGGGAAACCTCAGCCTAAGTTACCAACTTTTTTCCTACCCAAAATCAGCGATCTACATTGTTGCCAGTTCTTCTTCCAGTAGCTTCTAAAAGGCCAGAGGAAGCTTTTCATGAGACACACTGGAAGATTCCCAACTGGATTTAAATTCAAAGGATTTGGGAATTCATTAGAAAAGCTCAAAGAGCTATTTTTAATACTCCTGGGCTTTTGATACAAGAATGAGTGACCTTTCTAGGTAGGAGAGTATGAAATACCAATTAATCCATCTAGGTAAACTCCAACGGCTAGTTTTTCTAGGATGTTCTTCATTTTTGTCCATTTTAAACTCTTGCATTTTGGTGCGTTCAGCCTTCTATCAGCCCAACACTTAATTTCGCTAAAATATTTTGTATGCAGCATGTTTGAGCGCGTAATAACAAACTTACACCCGCTAAGATTTTTTGACACACAGTTATATATTAAACATTTCTTTGGGGATTAGAAAAGGAATATTTTGAAACTATTCCTTTAGTTAGGGGTTTAGGTTCCGAAATAAAACCATCATCGCAGTGGATAGTGGTTGTATTGGACACGCATAGCCATTAAAATGGTATTTCTAACGTAAAATGTTTCGTTGAAATATTTATCTTAAGATACAGTCTTAGAAATAATTCAAAAGAAAAAGTTTGAATTTAAATGCTCCAGCTTGTACATATTCGGTTAGAATATAAGCAAAAGTTGTTTCTCTTTGATGTTCCCTTTCTTTTTTACCTTTCCATCGTCTACTTGCTTCTATCTCGCCTTTTATCAAGATCGAAAAGCTGTTGAAGCAGCCTGAAATAGTTGTGCCATGTGCAGTAAGGACACTATCTTAGAGGACTGGCCGAAGGAATTTCAAGAGTTCAGATATGGAATCTCGGACTTGAAAGATGTGGCTCACCCCGTTAACTACCCAAAGTCGATAAGGACGTTAAAAGACAAGCGGCTAGCTAATTGGCCGTGAGGACAAGCTGCAGATACTAACAGGCACTTTGAATACACATCATTTTACTAAAAATTAGAAACTTGGATGCTCACAAATGAAGCGCATGCTTCTCACTGATTTCCGATGTCCCTTATAATAACAGGTTTCGATACATAATTATTGCGGGTGACGAAAAGTGGTGACTCCATGTTGGTACAGACCAGCGGAATTAATGTGTTTGGTCGAATAGGAAGGGTACTAAATGTATAAAAAGGTATGTTAAGGAATGACTGAGATGTGCGGAAAGCTCGACAAAGATGTGTATGACGCAGTTGCATGGCAAGTTATTACTTGTCATGTCCATATCATGCCACATATGGTAAACCGCGCTGCAAAAACTTGAAGGTTCTGTTGAAGCCACCCTAGTCTCTAAATTTCGCCCTGACGGTAAGTGGCAAACGAAATTTGTAAAGAGAGTTTTAAAAACTGGATATCAAGAAGACGAACTGCAGTAGAGATCGTGTGGAGAATATTTTCGTATGCGTCTCTGAACACGAAGGTCGTACACAACAGACACGATAACGCGGCACTAGTTTCGCAAACGAGGTTCTCTTTGTAACATTTTAGTTCGCTCGATGGGCGCCTCATTTTCATTTTTATTATGTTCCACTCGAATTAAGCAATTTAATTAAATATACATTCTTAAAAACGGTGGTTGTAACAAGCCAGGATCCATGCATACTAGACTGTATAATTAAGGCATGTTCTCTGTTTACAGTTACTTGTTACGAATTGATTCAATCGATTAATATATCGCGTTTAATTACTCAAACGTAATATTGGAGATAACGGTCGTGGAAATAATAATACAGTAAACAAACCTTAACTGAAACTTTTTTGGCAGTAATATTAATCATTGTTTGTAGAAGGTATCGTGGAAAAATATTTAGTACGAGTCCGGCGAGCTCTTAAATTAGTAAAAAATAATTTGAGGAAAGTTCCATCTTCTGAAATGCAGGTCAAAATCATCAAAGGCTAATACACAATTCAAAAATGCAAAATCGAAATTCCACGCCTACTTGAATCATGGTATGATGCCGCAGCAACTGCAAAACCAAATTGATTTACTAGCAAAATCGAAACCTGCGAAAATATAATCAAAATCAGCAAAAATTACATTAGTTACATTAGTTAATTCCTCTCTTTTAGATCGGATTAAGTGAAATAAATTTGGGACTAACAAATACACATTTTTAGCACCGCATATATCATTCTAATCTCCTCTATGATATTTATGGTCGAAATTGATCCTCACCGTGCCAAAATAGTAACCTTTAAAAACGGGAAAGTTTTACCGATACGAGTGGAATATTATCTCAACACAACTAAGTCTTAAATGCGCGCTGGTTTACGGTCGAAAGCCCGTTTAAAACTTGAGTCCTTGTGTACTACATGTGTAAACTACACGCGCAAAGAATTTTAGAATAAAACTATAACTTCGTTAAGAAAAAACAAACACAAAATGATGTTGCTCTAGTACAAATAATCTCTGTAACCTAAAACAAACATACCACACGTTTATTTACTTATCATGTCAACCATAAGACCGCTAGTAAATATTACCACGGAAAGTTTATTTACATAGTCATCCACGCATTCTACTGTCGTATATAGACATTCCGCGTTGCAAAGGCTTCCGAGGCTAATACCTACGAATGCGCAGACAGCCGATCAGTCGACCACTCCTTTTGCGCGGCTTTGATGCCACTATAGCACAGTTGGAAAGCTATTCTAAACTTTACATGGGAAAGCCACCTCCACGTTTGCCGCTCGCATTCATTTGACGCATCATGTTTTGAATGCCTGAAAAACCACCCATTTGTTGAAGAACACGAGGATCGATCATCTTAGCCATTTCGGCGCTCAATTTATTCATTTGAGCCGGATTCACGTTACGTGCAAGATCATTGCCCTTGAAAAGTCCTTTCATGCCGCCCATCTTCTTGACCATTGCTGCGAACTTTGTGTACTGGTTCAATAATTCGTGCACTTCAAACGTGGAACAACCAGACCCTCGGGCCACTCTGAAGAAATCAAATACAAAAAAAAGTTATCAGAATTAAAAAATAAGACCAGTTTCTATGGCGGAAACATTTCGAAATGTCATTGTCCCATTGTCATTGTTTCATTGTCCCAGCTGTCATATCAGCGGGCCAACTTGAACACCTACATAAGTGGTGTATAATGATAATCACAATAAACAATGTAACAATAATAAGGTATAAAATGAGTTTTAAACGGCGTTTTGCATTCACCGCGTTAAGTAGAAGATATGTATTCAATAAACCTTGTAATCCGCGTTTGCTGCCTGGCGAAGAGTTTTGCGCCTTCTCGATCATCAAGTTCTTCATCCGTCATTGAGTCCATCATTGTCATGAGCCTCTTGAGCCGAGCCATCGATTCCTGTTCATTTCCCTTAGACATGAAATCGGCGCTAAACCCTGTAAATTAAATTATCGATGACTGGTGAACTAAGAAAAGCGCGAAATTTCAACAGGAAAAAAATGAATTATTCTAATCATGTGTCTAATCATAAGAAACCTAATCAAGAACCACCTATTATACATACCAGGAATCATGCCCATGATCTGGTTAAAAGGTCCCATCTTCATGATGTTCTGGAACTGTTCATACATGTCGCGCAGGGTGAATTCTCCATGCTTGAGCTTTTCGATAAGCTCGTGGTTCTCGTCGAGCTTTAGTTCATTGACCTTGTCAATGAGGCCCTCAATGTCACCCAAACCAAGAAGTTTCTGAATGAACGGTTTCACACGAAATGGTTCAAAATCGTCGATATGCTCTCCAGTACCGATGAAGATTACTGGCGATCTCGTAGCGGCAACCGCGCTCAAAGCACCACCACCCTTAGCATGACCGTCCAATTTGGTAATAATCACCGAAGCAACATCGACTTTTTCTTTAAAGGCACGCGCCTGCAACTCGCAAGCCTGACCAATTGACGCATCCATAACGAAGATTACATTGTCTGGACTAACAGCATTTGATACCTCAAGCATTTCTTCAAATAAAGAATCCTCTTGTTTATGACGTCCCGACGTATCGACGATGATTATCTCAAAATGTTCAGCTTTAAATTTCGATACACCATCTGCTGCGATCACGACAGGATCCACCTCAGTATAGCTACCGTAGAAGGGAATTCGAGCCTGAAATAAAAGAGAACCTTAGCGTCAAGACAAAAAATACATAAGCCATTTTTAATAGCCATCGAAGTCCATTTAATTCCAACTTGACACAAAATATTTTAAGAATGCAAGAAATCAGTGCGGTTTGTAATTGACATCCAATTCGGATCAGTACTTTACTAGTGTAAATAGATAATGAGATAGGTCCTCAAAAAATTGGCACACCTTGGTAGCATTCTGCTTGAGTTGATCAAAGGCTCCAGCACGGAATGTATCAGCGCAGACAAGTGCAGTTTTCCAACCCTTCTTCATATAATAATAGGCAAGCTTAGTACACGTTGTTGTTTTTCCCGATCCTTGCAATCCGACAAACATTATCACATTACTGCGACCTTTCGAGGGCTGCCACGCTCTTACACCGGGGTCGACAAGTTTCACCAACTCTTTAAATACTGCAGACTGTACCACCTTACGCCTATTCAAACCTGAGATGTAACATTTTAATAATAGTCCAGTAAGAGTAATTTTCTAAAAAAATTATGCATGATCGCTTTACTACTAGTAGGCTATAACAAAACAACCTTCTAGCAGTGGTGGTCAAAGAAGATGGCTTTCTAAAATTTCATTTAGTTATGAGACGATAGATTTACAGTTTTCATATATATATATATATATATGACGCGTGCAGCGTCAACTACTGGAATGGATACGCGCTTGGCTGACTAAAAAAACGTATAAATTTGGTAACTTAATATATGAACTGAATTAAAGGAAATCAAACTAACATTGGCTTCTTGATCTTTGTTCACAGAGTTTTCTTACCAACGGCCATCTCGTCAATGTCGATAGCTGCTTTAACATTCTCACGCAGCTGTTTAACCAGGCGAACATTGATATCCGATTCGAGTAGAGCAGCGCAGATCTCCTTAAGCATAGAATCAAGAACCTGTGAATGTAATAAAAAACAATAGTCGAGTGTATAACGTTTCGCTTTATTTATCTTACCGATTTGCTGTATAGTAGGCTAAAATAGGACTTGCTGAATTACAATAAGCGTATTTTGTCTTAGTCTTGGTTTCACGCAAACGGTGCATTTTTATTCTTTTTAATAAGCTATATGGAATCTCTTGAATATAATCCACAATTAAGTAAATCAGAGTCGTAACACTAAGCAAGCAGGATTAGCGGATTTGCCCGAGGTTTACTACCATTAATAAATAATATTAACTTGAATTTAAGTAAAGGTTTTAACGATAAGATCATGCTAGTCCAGCATTCAAAATACACGTTTCACTATAGAACTACACAAAAAAATCGCAATACTTTCTTTATAAATCAGTTCTCATTTTAACAAAACCTCTTCATCAGCAATAATAAACCATGGATGTAGTAGAAAATTAATAATGCCAACCATCCATTACCATCGGACAGATACAGGAACAAACTTCCTGCGCACTATCAGTATTTCAATAATCTACCAGTTATATACACTGGACTGACATCTGAACGGACTCGTTCAAGATTTTCGAGCAAATGAGCTAAAGTCTCTTTTAATGAAACCAACTTTTTTGGACTATAGCGAATAAATTATAAAAACAATTGGTTTTTCGCAGTCGAACTACTACTGGACCTGAATTGCACTTTTATGCTGGATTTGTCGTTGTAACATCTAGCAAAGCGGGTTTACGCCCTTTTCAGGAAAAACCCTAAATGTGCCTAGCTCTGCTCTCTTATGCTGTAAAGTAGTTATAATATTTTAATAATATTTCTTTCTTCTCTTTCGAATAATAACAGATATTCCAACCGTGTATATGCAGATTAAGAAATTGATGTCTACCTCTTGGTTGATGACAGTGGCCGTCGAGAGGTTCCGGAGGGCGCTGGTAATGCGCCGTCCTAAATCTGCTAAGACCATTCTGGCAAATCTGCAATTAGAGTTACATAAAATATAAAATTAGTTACACTTTACGTTTGATAAATTCGAGTTGCTGATCGAAATGGCTTAGCTGGTAGCGCGCTCTGTACAGTTATCAAACTAATGCTGGCGTACACATGAGTCCAGTTAGCCCTGAGGACCAATAAAAGCTTTCTAATAAAAAAATCTTTAATGCGCCATTTCATTTGGTACAATATTGACAGTAACCGTAACCGTGCGTGAAGAGTACCGATTCTCACACACATAACGCCCGCCTAATAAACCGTAATTATTACTGCAACAAACACGTCTTGCATGTCTGTATCTCACTTATGCAACAAATATGAGAGCCAACAACTGGTAAAATCATACTACATAAAATACTTCACATCGAAGGCTGACAATCCGCAATGTAAGTCCGCTTTTCGCTGGTTTCGGAAAAACACTGAAGTGCGCTCACTTGTGCCGTGGCTTCTTTCTTGGACAAAGTTCGCAGTAACACTTTACAGTTTAAATCGGAGTAATTCAATGTATAGGGCGCAGAGCCTGAAAGTCAGCTGTGGACTAAACACCTTTTCTGAAATCGGGTTGACTAGTACATAAGCTTCCCCCCAACCAAAAAAACCAAATGAAATCTAAATCAATGATTCGTTAAAAAAGCTTTTCTAGTTCATGGTTACATCACGGTAATGGTCGTGTGTGTCAAAGGAATTATAGCGTGGTTCATTTGCTATAACCAAAAATGCATACGTTATTCTGTTAATACATGCAACTTCAATGAAGCATAACTCATTTCTTGTATATTTTTTATTAACTACTCTAGTAAGTACTCTAGTAGTATTAACTACTATAGTAAGGTAAGCTGCTCGAAACCATTATCACATCGAATAATATTACGTTTAATAGTAATATGATGTCGAAAGCTTGTTCTGTAATTAGTTATAATATCCTTCCATATGCTCTTATAATTTCATATTTCTGCTATCAAACTGAAAAGGAAAATGGTTATTGCATTTATTATTATAAATATAATAACAATTGTTGCTTAAGTGCCACATATTTGTATCGGTCATCGGCAACTTGAGACTGCCTTCGAAAAACATCTGGCTTTGAAAAATGTGAAATTCGCTATTATCTGGTAGATCAGTGGCAACTAATGGCTCCAATGTTATCATGAAGATGCTTATGCTACTCAAAATTATTCCGGGAAAGTCAAATGTTCACTATGTTTTATGAGCCACAGCACCTTCATTTTGATTAGCAATATAGCTTGATCTCAGTTCTTCAATTTTAATAAGATTTTATTCACTCTAGGTTAATTGCTGACACCCATGGTCCACATTTGGTTTATGTCCCCTCTGTCATGGTATAAATCTAAATTTCCACTGCTTATATGTTCAACGAAGATGCGACTTTCAATTTGTTAACCTTATTTCTTTCTGTGTTAATCATTAATTAAATTTCGTCAATAATTAGGTTTTCTTAAAAGTCGTTACTTCAAATTCTTCGGATGTATCTATTTACATATATATTCAGTAATGCTTGATTACCTGAAACCTATGAATCTACTTGATTGGTTTTTAACCTTCTGCTATCGTATCGCTAGTTTATAAATCTCCAGTAAGTGGTTACAATTACGACAGCTGTTTTAAATCTTTATTTCGTACTTAACAATGTGATATATGGAAGATAAAAAAGTATACTTGAAACTGCAGTCTTTTTATAAATATCTAATGACACAGATTAATTCGTGTACGCAAGTTGACTAGTGCTAGCGTCTATATAGAATACTCACGTTTATTTGCGAGTTTTTCGCACAAAATGTATACACGTTGCCTTTGGTAACAATAATAAAAAAACTATGCCTAATCTTTCAAAGCAGTTATGCCCGTACAATATTCTTGCAGACAGTTCTTCTGCTATTTGAGCCTGCTTTCTTGACTTCTCGACAACATGATGATTTGGAACATTCCATAGATGGATTAATGTTCGAAGAGAACCAGACAAGAACAGTAACAACAACGATACACGGCAAGGGCGATTCGAAGTACATAACAAAAGAAGCTGTGATGGCCATTATAGATCGAAATATTCATACACAATTCGACTGAGCGTGTAAACGACACGAGCTTCTATTAAGATCATCCCATTTTCACAGCAAATGCAAAAATAATATTTGAGTCATTACCGATAACTGTTTTGTGGTACGGTTTTATGGTAACTGTTTTACGGACTTCTTCGACAACCGCTCTTCTGGCCCAACTCGGTCTGCTTGGCGCGTCATCATTCCAGTAGACTGCTAACGCTGGCTGGAGCCCGCAGTGCAAGGAGGAGCTGTATTTTCGACAGGTTTTCGTAAATTTTGATGAAACCAGGATCTCTCAACGACTCAAGACTAAATCGAAGGATACTTGTGTAACGGATCTCTATTCGGTGAGTAGCTGAAACTTCCTCAAATGGCCTATTTGGCAAGAGTTCTCACTCGAGAAAATGTGACAGTAACCATTTTGAGTGAACACCGGAAAATGCACGAACGCTAGACTGCCAGCAAGATGACCCGGCATCCCAGTGTTCTATGAAATTAAAGAAGATTGAATTGTATTAAGCTCAAGGTTTAAACTATGATTCGTTCTCTACTACTAGCATAAACGCAAAGAGATACGATTAGCTTGAACTTTGAATGGAGAGACGCGTAGTCAATGTGGACTTGTTGAGTAATACAATGTCAGGCCTAAGGGTTTAAAATGCTTAGGGGGGCAGGGGAATATTTTCAATCACTAAGTAGCTTTCATTCATTTATGGTATAGTATTTTTCATTGAGCCGCTAAGCGAATTCTGTCATTCGTGGACTTCATTTAAGGAGTTCTTATTGCCAGTATTGAAGGTATTGTTACTTCCATCGGAGTTGACACCATCTCTATTATTAAGATTAAATTAATTGAAGAGTGTGTCGGACAAAATGGCCATCATTGAACGAGTGCTATATTAACGTTTATCAATCAGCCTTTCCGTTCAGAACCATGAGCGGTTCAAAATTAGCGGTGAACAGTGAAAGTATTGGTGAATCCAAGTGATACGAACGGCGACAGTAATTACTGTTAAGGCAAAAAACGGTTGTGCTCTTTGTAAAATAAAATATTTACGCCGCACTCTCGTTGCCATATGGGCAGTTATCCTCCAAGCAGGACAGGACGTATACAGGAGTTGTTTCACTCCATAAATGTGAACGATGTTGCTATAGCCTAAAAGTCGCTGATTTAAGATTAGTTGAAAACATTCCTGGGGGTTATCTATTCTTCGTTTTTATGCATTACTGTTATATCATATGCATGAGCTTTAAGTCCATTAAACAAAGTTCGGGTGATAATGTGCGGGAGCAAAAATACGTGGACTTGTTTACTACGAAATGTATATTAAGTTGTATGCCTACACCTTTTCTAAAGCTCTCTCAAACAGCTGTATCTTTATATAATCAATCATAGTTCATTAGCCTTAACAGTAACCAGATAGATGAAGCTAGGACAACAATGATAAAACATTATTTATTCAAAAAACAAATCAAAGGGCGAGCTTTTTTCGTCTGGATATATATATATATATATATATATATATATATATATATATATGGAGGATACAGGCGGTTTTGAACACTTGCTTAGAAGAACAATTCTCTTATGATGTGTTTGTCCTGTTTTAAAAATAGTCTATATTAACAAATCAAGCCTTTCAAATGATTTCTTATTATGTAATAGTAGATGCCCTATGACGCTGGTAGTTCTTGACTTTTTTCGATTTTTGACTGTTAACTAACTATAAAAAAAGAATTAGAGGTTTTATCACATATGTGATTGAAGGCGTATATACGTATAAATACGCGATCTAATCATTTTTCCGGCGCAGCTACAAACTGAAATGTCCCTGACTTTGAGCCAAGATCAATAATATCCTAATAGTAACATTGATTTGAGAATATAATATAATATATCATAACTAACAGTATCACTTTTCTTGCAGTTTTCTACGTGAATTGAACTGTTTTTTTTTTAGTTTTGGATTGATTTGAAGATAGACAAAGAATATGCAAAATCGGTTAGCTATTGGAAGCATTTATTGCTCAGAACATAAAAAAAATATGGTAACTTCCTAAGTTAATAATTTTTAAACTTTAGGGCATGTTGTGTTCTTTTTTTTTTCATTGATGACAGCAAGATCTTCAAAAAGGCATTGCAATATTTCTACAGCCTCAATAAAGATCTTTATAATACGATAAGTAAGGTATTTTATGTAATTTATGATTATGAATTAACTGGCGGGGTGACAAAATGATACAACCTACATGTGTTTAAAGAATTTCTAATGTTTGTTGTTCCCTAATAAGACGGTGTCTGGTTCTTGGTTTTTCCACTCGGAAATTGAGTCAGAAGCAGGTTCTATTAATGGGGAAGTCTTCCTTTGGGTCACTTGACGTAAAAAGCCTCACTATGGATGGGAATCCTAGCTTACTTTTTTGGTCACACCTAGTTCAGCATTTTATTGATAAGTATATATATATACACATATATATATTGATTCGTTCCCATTGCATTCCAACCAATTTAAAGGCGCGCCGAAAAATGGGCAAAAGAATGATCTTTTTATTGAGTCTACCGCCAGAGTTCTGGTTGGCTCAATTGTGTATTATGTATTGTATTTAACTTTATCACGTTATATTACACATATTGAGAAAGAAATGAACTCAATTAAAATACAACGAAAGAATTGAGGTTCGAAAGGTCCTGTGTCGATGATATATTATCTGAATTGGGATACGTTTAGTAATTAAAATGGTATTGTAGTGCGCGGCCGGAATCGCCTTCATTTCATGCGAATGAAATTTAATCATTCAGGTGTCTGCGTATGTTTTACGTATACAAATTGTACACAGAAAATATACTTACCGACCCAACCGATTTTTAATTCTTACTCAGCTGCTTATATAATTGAACACATCTGAGGAAAATACGATTGAAGTTATCTAAAACGTCGTCGTTTCCTGAGCTGTACATGTAGCAACATGCAGACGTTGGCTACCCTGGATTGGAGGCTAAAGCAACGTCTTGTTGAAACCAGCTTATGGAGAATTTGATTGTTGTAATCTAGAGTTCAACTCGCTTCTTGTGAGTTTATTTTTAGCACTAGTCGAGATTGCCGCATACTACTTTCTTTGATATCTAGGTTTCATTTCGTCTATATGCCTTCCACCTTGATTAAGTAGTTCCAATCGTTTCTATTTTCTTAATTTAAAACGATAATGTAGGTACAAATTGTTGTGCGTCTCGAGAAATGTGTCAAATACAGGTAAACATTACATTCTGGTCATGACGTTCCGTTGTCCTGTCATAGAACGAAATTTTATAGCAAAGTCTAAGTTCGTGATTCTGTATTTAGCTGAAGGATGATGACTTTGAAAAAGCGTAACTGAGAAGTGACATGGGCAAAAGATAAATATTTAGCCTATGTTAGGTGCTTTTCTGTTTAAAGTTGATCTCTTCTCCTGTAATTGTAGTCTTTCGAAAATTCACATTTTCCATGAACCAGAATGTGACGTTTGAAATTAAATGTGCTTTGGAGAAGGCTGCTCGAGTAGCATGTTGCTAACGTTGGCTGAGGCTTCATTTAGAGTCGATTTCCATTGAATACTGTTGGCAAAAAGATATAACAGGATTCTCCTGAACGTCAGGATAAACTGTAAAACGCGGTTATTTGAAACAAAACTTATTCGGAAGGATTAGCTTAAACCATAAAATTATGATGGTGGTATTCTACTGCCATTTTAAACTGCATGTTGCTTAATACCTGTACATTTCTCGAACTTTTTTATGCATTCATCTTTTGATCGCTTATTGGTCCAGAACCACCTTGAAGAACTTGACAAATATTACACAGCTTGTTTGTGACCTTATTGTTTCCCTAATCTGCAAGGAAATCGTGCTCATTTTTCGGTACGAAGTAAATGTAAGCGATACTTGATACAAAAAATACATAGTAGTAATTGTAATAATGATAACACGTAATGATAGTTCGTTATATAAACGTTTGTTATACTATGTTTGCGTATTTTTCATGTTCACGCAGTGCACGGGATACTAATAATAACAAAAAATATGATTGGAATCGTTCAATGGTTTGCGCTTCGTGCGTCGTCGATAAGTTTGCATTAATATAATCGTGCATTTCTCTTTAATTGCCTTATACTCATTAATGTCAAGTAGTGCGATAGCAAAATGCTGAGGTCAAAATTATTCCACTTGTAGTAGAGTTCTCGATTGGTTTCTTCCTCTAATGCCATTCGAGTGTCATTAACTTGCCATTTATTTGCAGGTACTGTGGCTCATAATCAAACAAGTTTGTGATTAAATATAAGTGTGCAAAGCTCACTTATATCAGGCGATTTTTGGGCAGGGGCATTTTCGTGTAGCATCAGCGGTGGTGATGATTTTTTCCTAATTTGTTCGCTGTGCCGATAAACTACCGTACAAACTGCAAAGTAACGGTGACATTTTGCGACAGTTGGAACTTTAGGTGGCCTATATATTGCCATTTATGAGCCTTTCTGCATTCTATATTGAAAATTATTTTCTATTTTGCGTGTAGTTTTTCTATCTTTCCGGTTAATTTATATATACGCTACCTAGTTTCTCATGCGAATGTACCGTCTAATTAAGAGTTCTAATAAACGACAGCTATTTTCTTTTCTGAATTTAGACTTTTGAGCTGCAGTATAGAAATCATATCCTCTAAAGTTTTTTGAAAGTCATCTGACGTCGCAATTAAGATCACCGGTAACTTCCGAGTCAGCAAGATGTTGTTCGCCATTTTTTGGATTCCGAGCGATCTTAGCGCTATCATTTTACTATATGAATTACAAAAAGATAATTTTTATCGGTAAAACAATAGTTTCCCAATTTAAATTAAACAAAAATGTTAGCAACATACTTCAATCGAAATTAGTTTACCGCAGTGGGAGAAGGCACGTATGTATCCGTAATTTCTATATGATATTGTAGCTTCTGTTTACTGTAATACAGTAGTGAAGGACGAAATCCACTGAGATTATGCATTATTACCTCTAGTACATAGAATGTAAAACGTTTCATTTACAAAACAGCGTCCATGAGAAATTCAATTTGTCCACTAAATTTGAGTCCCAAAGGTTATTCGTTTTCCGTAGGTCTTCAACGTAGAAAAAATCACTACCTGAGTACGTAATGAAAGTGGAAAAAATAACACCAGCTATAACCAACTTATTTTCAGATGCCTATCATTCTCAACGTCAACTCTTTTTTACTTGTATTTCCTGTTCTTGCAGAAATAGTTACTTCAGAGTAGCATTCTTTAAAACCCAAATCACACGCTCAAACGGCTATCTTAAATAAATTCAGGTGGCTGTCTTAAATTAATAAAAGCAGGTTCAATGTTCAACTAATTTATGGACAAAACGTGAATTTATGCGAGAGCCTTTATTTTTGCTGATGTGCTAGTATTTTTTAAACAATATCACAATGTTATGATTTCTATGAACTCCATAAATTTGATATCCACTATGGTTTTTCCAGTAACACCTGCGTGTTTGTTTAGGCACATAGAACGTATATTTGGTCTACAAAGAATACAAAACAAGTCCATTACGAAATGGAATGAATGGATAAGAAGGTAATTTCGTGTTAAGAATATATTTTTCTGTGTTCTTGGGACTTCTGGTCCAAATAATTAATCTTTGATTTGATTTTTGGCTCTATCTGGACTGTTAGAAATTATAAGTATTATGTATGCTACGCATGAGATAAGTCACCATAGTCGACGATTGCGATCTTTTAAATATGTAAAGATCTAAGACCTAAATATTTTGAACATTCATGTTTTTATATAGATCAGTTAAAGGGTAAATGGTATATGGACGAGTGGTGAATTTCCACTCGAATTATGAAGGCATCCAATGAGTACATGTTAAATTTATGGAACTGATAAATTCATGGCGTTGTGTTAAAGATCTTAATTAGGGTATCATGTATATACTAGTACGTACAGTATCAAATTTTTAATAATAAATGTTTAGACATATTTCAATACAATTTAATAAGAGAAAAGCCTAGCGATGTCGTTTCAGCGATTAGTTTCATTCTTGAAGTTGATAAAACTGCGCAAGTAATCCGTTTCAAAAGCTGCGTTGATATTTGGCGGAAATTGTCATCGAATTGCGGCTGGAGATGTTACACCCTGCAGTAAAATTTATACGAATAAATTAATGTATGTCTTTCTATTTTCTTACCAACTTGAAAATGGCCTGTCAGCTTAACGAATGATTGTTTAGTTTAATCGTTAGTCACACAGTGTGCGGCTGAGTACATCTAGGTTCTTTCTAGTGCGCCACTGAGATAATCGAGGGGCAATAGTACCTTTTTGGGGTAGCTGTAGCTGCCTATATGGTTTGAGCAATTTTGTGAAGTTACTTCGTTGCCGTGCCTAGCTATGGTAATGGAAATAGAAACTGCAGCGGGTATGGCTCCTCGTGGTAATCTATATGTTCCTGTAGTATGGCATGCAATTCAGAAGAAGAAAGTTGGGGCCGCCACAGCAGCTGTAATTTGCAGAACTCCAGGGTGGCAAGAACTTACAACAACAAATAAAACCTATGTTATCGAGGGCTTAGCCCATCGCCTGTTCATCAAGTTGATCGTTCGCGTTCAGTATCATCCTGGTGATAGGCTGCTGATAAAATCTAGATGGTTAAACTTGTATTTTGAGGAATGGTTCTAGTCAATGCAAACTCAAAACTATTTTCCAAATAATGTGTCGCTGCCTTTTCGGACGAATATTTGCTTGAAAATGATGACAGTTTTAAATTGCTCACTTAATCACAATTTTTTTTCGCATATTCTATTCTCTAGTTCTAACAAATATTTAAACAAACTGAAAGCACAAAGGAAAAGTGATTTATAGGAAAGTATTCACTTCTAAACTTGCTTTACTTAAAGGTACTAACTGCGTATGCGGAAAATCTTTTTCCCTCTGAAAACGAAAAAATGTATTGTATACTATCGGTTTCCTTGTAATTATCAAATTTCTTATTTTCTGTGAGTTGGACTTTCGAGTAACTATGTTTAGTTACTCTTAATGATTTGTTGCCTCAGTGAAAACAAACGGCTGTTCAACAACGAACGGAAAATTGATGGTGTTTCTTGTTTGTATATGCCTAGGAGCCCACGTTTTATGAGTGAGTGGTAGAAGCTCATATAGTTGTCACATTGAGCCATAGCGCTAAAAAAAATTTTTGGTTGAGACGCACAGATTATTGCATTCAAAGGGTTCTATCTAATTAGTGCTATTTCTACGCAGGACTACCGCCTGTTATTTTTTGTCGTTTAGAAGAATTGACAAAATTATCTTACACCTGACCCACGGGGAGCCGAATCCGATTTCTCGGCACCACCCAGGAATTGTTCAATGTGAATGCGCTTAAATGTTTCATATAACATTAAAGCGTTTGCGAATGATTAATTTATATTAATAACCGAATGCCGCGTTTAAAGAAGGAGCCTCTAAATACAACTGCTAACTGTACTTTGCGAGTTATACTATGATGTACATTTTACTTGGCGTGTTTTGCAATATAGCAGTTTCTACCCGGCGGTAGAACTCAGGAATGATAATAACTTTCCGACCGCTTCAAATGGATGCGGGTGAAAAGTATCATGATAATAAAGGTGCACTTACCTTTTTAATATTTATTTGCATTTTTTGCATTCCAGTTTGGGCGAATTTAATTTCATTCATGAATTCGCAGTTATTGAACAAGTTTTAAAGACTTGTTAATTTTGGCATTCACTGTAACTTTTCGCAAAGACCTTTCAAGGTTTTCGTTACCTCGCTGGTTTTTCCGAATTTTCTCTAATTGGTACTGTGGTTGTACGCAGTGATTGCAATGTTTTTGTAAATTTAAATGGGTGCATTTCGTTGCCAGTGTTCATTCTCACACTGCTCGGGTTGGAGCTTAGCGGCACTTCCGTGATGTGGATTGTCGTTTGTTGCTCAGGAGATTCTCCGCTCGTCGTACATGTTGTCCCTTTTTTTTAGATTGGGGAAGCAAACGACGTCAAGAGAGCAAGCCCCCGTAGGGGGTCTCCATTACCGTTATTGTTGCTTTGTTGTATCTTTCTAGGTCGTCCCGACGCTCAGACACAGGAAGAAGAGGAAGAAAAAAGTTTTGAAGAAGACACGAGCAAAGGATTAGGATTGAAGAAGTAGGACATTAAGCGTAACCCAGGCAGCCACGACTAAGGCAAAGATGTTCCGTGGTGGTGGAGGTGGACGAGGCCGCGGTGGGGGCAGTTGGCGTCCCGGTGGCGTAGGAGGAGGTGGCTTCCGAGGCGGGCGCGGCGGTCAACAAAATAGTAGCAGTAATAATAATTCTCGCTCGCAAAACTCAAACCAACAGCAGCCGCAGCAGCAGCCGCAGCAGCAGCAGCAGCAGCAGCAGCAGCCACAACAGCAGCAGCAGCAGCAGCAGCAGCAACAGCAGCAACAGCAGCAGCAACAGAATAATCAGAGTAAGCAAGGCAATCAAACCTCCAACAATCAGCCGCAACAGCAACCTCAACAACAGCAAAGTAATCGTGGCGCTGGTGGCAGTGGAAATTTCCCGAATCAGCAACAACAGCAAAATCGCACCCCCCAAGGAACCCCACAGTCGAAACAATCCACGCCACAAACGACTCCCAAGCAAGGGACACCACAGCAAGCTCAGAAGCAAACCCCCCAACAGCAAAAACAAAACCCGCCACAAAATCAGGATCAGTCTAATAAGGCTCAAACCTCCACTCCTCTCGGAGGGCTTCCCCAAAGAGACAATAACAAGGGCAAAGCCCCTAGCATCACAGTGCCGCCTCCTCCACCGCCTCAAAACGGCAATCAGAAACCTTTTACACCCCAGAATAAGAATGGTACTCCAAACACTAATCAGAAGACTCCTCAGGGTCAGCAACAAGCCCAAAATCGCCCTAGTCAAACGAGTCCAAACAAAACGCCGACGCAGAATAATCAACAAGGACAACAAGGGCAGCAGACACAACAGAACCAACAGGAACAAAGCGCGGGCGGGTCAAATAATGATGATCCGAACTCGGATAACACGAAGCTCTTTATCGCAACCGTAAAACAAGGTATAACCGACAAGGAGTTTCGTGAACTGTTTTCTAAATTTGGAAAGCTGAAAGACGTTTACCTTAATAAAAATAAATGGTTCGGTCTAGTGACATTTGAAACGCATGCTGACGCAAACTCAGCCCGGAAGCATTATATAAATTCAAATATCCTTAAACTTAAGTGGGCACAGTCAGCACCAAAGGAAACGCCACTGATTCTTAATCAAAACAACCAAGAGCAGACGCCAGTTAAAAAGGAGTCGAGTTCAAAGTGTCGCTTGTTTATCGGCAATCTTTCACCAGAGGTCACTCCAGATAATATTCGCAAGCTGTTTGAGCCTTATGGAACAATTATGGAATTATTTGTTCCCCCAGGAAAAGGTTTTGGTTTTGTTCGCTATGAAACACGGGCCAGTGCTGAGGCAGCCAAAAACGCCCTCGAAGGAGAGCCATTTGCTAACCGACAGCTGCAGATTCGTTTTGCGTCACAAGGCGCTGTGCTCAAGGTGCGAAACCTTAGCCCCTTTGTGACAAACGAATTGCTTCACCAAGCGTTTGAGCCTTTTGGCGAGCTCGAACGAGCCACAGTATTCGTAGACGAACGAGGTAAGTCACTCGGTGAAGGCATTCTTGAGTTTTCTCGCAAACCAGTCGCCGTAGCAGTTATGCGCAAGGCGCAACAGGAGTGCCTCTTGTTAACGACGTCGCCTCTGCCTGTAATCATCGAGCCGATGGAAGTGCGTGACGATGAAGACGGCTTCTCGGAAAAGATGATTAACAAGCAGAGTACCGGCTACCTAAAAGATCGTGACAAAGCGCCCCGTTTTGCAGAGAAAGGGACATTTGAATACGAATTTGCTATGAAATGGAAGGAACTGCTTGCGTTGGAGAAGTTGAAGAAAGAACAGGTAGATCGAGAGTTACAACTTGAAAAAAATCGTCTCATGGAAGAGATGGATATAATGCGATATGACTATGATTTAGACACGCTACGGCGACGATTAAAGTTGCTTGAATCTCGACAAGAGGAATTTGAAAATCGCAAATTAGTTGCGGAAAAGAATAACAAAGCACGTGAAGAGGAGCTCAAGGTTATGCGTAAAACAATAGCTAAGCGACAAGCCGAAATCCTTGGATATCCATATGAAGACGAGGATGAAAAGTTGCAGCAGCAGCAACAATCACAGCCAATGCAACAACAGACAGGACCAGGTAATTCTAACCAACAGCTTTTAAGTGGGCATCCCGTAGCTGACGCGGTGTTAGGAGCCGCTCTTGTTGTGCCCCCGGCCGAACAGCAACAGCCGTCGGCAGCAGCGGAGAACTTCTTGAAACAATGGAACTCGATCACGAAAGGCGTCTCTTCATCACAGGATCAACAAGCACAACAAGCTCAGCAAGCACAACAACAGCAGCACCAAGGCAATAACAAGATGGCGCCTGGTCAATCAATGCCGCCGCAGCAAACGCCGCCCCAAGGGCAGAGGCCTCCTCCACCTAACAGTTGGCAGGAAGTTCCACTGCCGCCATCGCAAGCAAACAAGGCTCAACCAAACCCCAACAAGCCAGCATATATGTCTTATCTAGGGCAACAGCCCAACGGTAAGAGGTTAAGTGATCCTGGACCAGTACCGAAACGTAGAAGATATTAAGCGTAAATCTGAAATTCTGCGCTTCTAATGTTTCTCCGATCAATCAATTAACTATTACTAGTACTACTTAAATGATTAAGTGTTGCGTTCTGAACCGCCATTAGAGGCCCCACATCAAATTACTGCTACAAGAATTAATTAATGGAAACACTACTATTGATTTCTTCATCCGATATACACGACAAAAGTATTGTGCCCCTCCCTCTTTGTGTCTGCAGCAAGCAAAGCTGCAACAATTTCAGTGTTTTTGTTTTTTCCATGTTGTTCATTTTTGTGAATGCTTGTTAAAGCAGTAACGATAGCTAGAGGAAGGACTATCATTAATAAGACTGCATAATATAGCAGAATGTATCATCATCAGCCATCGGCTGCATGACTGGCCGTGCCACCGGAAACACAAACTATACTTTACCAACCAACCATTCACCCATAAATTCAGATTCTTATATATACACTATATACATAGTAAATTTTACTAACGTATAGTAAGTAGACTGCGAATTTATCGTTCTATTGGAATGTAACAGTGTGTCTTAACATTTACGCGGTCACCCTTCCACTCCGTATGGCAGAAAGAGCTAAATATATAATATTACAAATATAAATAGATGGATAATAAACACGACCTGTATTTATATGACGTGGAATTATTTTCAGGTGTTTTTACTCGTAATAGATGATCTCTATACTTTTCGCCTCAGGCCTATTAGAAGCAACTCTGAAACGTTGAAAAGCAGTGTTAATTCAGTGAGATATTACCATTTTATATTATTATATATTAACGCTCCCGTAGAGCATATGCAAACTGCAAAAAAGCTCTATTTGGACAATTCTGTTGCAGAGTTTTCCATCAGAAGGCCCATATTATTAGTGAATGCCAGAATAAACGATTTTTCTTGATAAGGATGAGTATAAAGCAAATTACTTGTTTTACTAGTTTTGTTAGTCGAAAATGCAGTAAGATTCGGCTGAATCATTAGCTTTACCAGTGTTTGGTAAGTGTTCAAGGTATTTTTGCATGCTTTTCAAAACCATACATATTCAGCTAGCCGAAGTCCTATGAACCATCGTCAGTAATGTCTAACGAAAATATTTTTTTAGGAGAGATTCAAATTAATGTCAACTAAATAAGTCATGAGCCGATGGAAATAATTAGCGCAAATGAACTATTTCAATACGGGAATCATACATTCGTAGTTGCCGCCAGATAATGGTGTTAATTTTCAATAAAGTGTTTATTTTCGCCTCATTATGAACAGACGAACCTCCAGGTTGGCCGAACTAAATGTTTAACTAGAACTGCTGTTTCGATTGTTCGACATCAACACATTTAATATTCTTATTTGCTACACAAAAACCATGTGCGTTTCAGTAAGCTCAACCTGCTCACCTGCGATGATTAAATAAAGAGGGATAGAATATGTACAAATCACTGAGGCATGCAAAGTTTGTGGCCCATCGAAGGGGTCTGTGGGTTGCAGTTCATTCAAACACTTTACTTAATGGTCCAAACGAGTTGCATGTGCCAGCATATGTTCAGATGAACTTCTCGAAGTTCAATGTTTATAACTCGAAGAAATCTGAAAGGAAATGTTTTACGAGAGTAGTCTCTTCAGGAGCTTGTTTTAGTACACTTTAATTCACCTTAACAACTGATTGGCCCGACAGTTGGCTTGATTGTTTAAGTACATTTTCTCGTGAAATCACGAATATAACTAATTTCAGGGCATCTACAAGGAAATGTTTTAGTCTCCTTAACTTTACACAATGCGGCAGAAACGTTCATTCTGCATGCCTCACTTATCGTGCGTTTTTCGATTAGCCTAGCGACGGTCTTTCCTATATGCTGTTAGGTATAATAATGCGATATATAACAAAGGTAGTCTTTTACTTTGTCTTAATATACTGGGGTGTAAACAGTCGTTGTGGAAGTAGGAAAGGAAGTAAAGATACACATGTGGCTTAATTGGCTCTTAAGCTGTGAACCTAAAGGATCACTGGTTTCAGCCTCACCAGACGGCATATAGTCATGAAATATCTATGAAGGAAATATGAACATCCATTTAGCATATTTGAGATTCAAAATTATATGAAGCATGTCAATTACCGCTGATGAGTATCACTCTATTTCACTAAACTCACGCTTAATGTAAATGGTCAAAGAGGGGTTCAGCTTTTTTTTTATTGTTTATTGCAAACTAGTTCTGATTACCCGTTTGATGTTTGAACGGGTATCGTAACTACAAATGGTTTTTCCCTCGTTCATGCCTTCCAGGCTAACACTCCTATTTAGGCAAGTTTGATCCCGCAACTAAACAATATGACGCATGCAGTTTTTGCGTCTTAAAAAGAACAACGGTAGTATACTACTATCAGTGCTCGATGTCTTGATTTCCCGTCTACTTGTGACACCTACAAGGCGTGCTGTGTTATAATGTTCTGGATTGAAAATTACTAAACTCATGTATCGAAAGTTTTGTAGAGGTACGTATCCGATACCATATTAAGTCATGCAGCTTAATTGATCTTAAAGAAAGCATTTTGCAAGTTGCTCTCCATACATTTGATTAGAAGTATTAGCTTCTTGATATGGCTAGCCCTTATCGATAATACAGTTAAGCTGGTTAACTCAAGCTTTTCAGTAGAATAACTAAATGTTGGTTTAGATGCGCTTTTATTCATGACGTATTTGCTGAAAAAGGAAAGTACTTTGAAAGATTTGTATATTTTTAGCTCTAATATTCCGCGTAGAAAACTAGCAGGTCTATTTACTGTTTGAACTACGTAGTTGATCCGTGGGAAGCGACACAACCTTTGAGTTGAGATATATTTGGATTAGCTGCCATTCAAATCAGCTAAAATAAGCATTTTTTACGATAAATTTTTTACAAAGAGAAAAAGTAACTTTAAACAACATGTTATAGTTGTTGCTTTTTATTTGTACATTGAAATCGAATAATGACTGAACGAATAAACTTGAAAAACTATGATTTGTGTATATGATTAGAACCGTATCTTGATTTATAATCTGGTGTTATCTCTGGAAATCTATTTGCCTTACGGATGTCTTTCATTTGCTGAACCTACTAATCGTCTTACAATGCTCCTTAATTATAACGGCCACAACAATATGATGCCGTAAAAGTGAGTTCTGCCTGGATTCTGTCTTGAGTTCAATATCGCGTCGGTTTTTCATGTAAATTAAACTGGGCGAGAATAGTAATGAACAGGCTTGTTGTTTTTGCTTTACTAATATAGCGTTCGAACAAGTGCAGTTTACGCCCGTTTATCGTCCCTTAATGAAACGAAGTTTTTAGCTTTTATTGCACAATGACCTTGGTAACCGGCATTGTAGGTTAAATTGCAAGCTTAATGGCTACTAATGATCCATTTAACAAGAGCCCACAGGATGAAATAAGAAGCTAAACAAAGGATTCCGAGTTGTAGCGGATCCACGATTTCCGTCAATCACCACGTTCACCACGATAGATACATCTTCAAAGGAAGATCAATGAAGACAGCAGGAGCAGAAACTGGCAACACAAATGGTCGTGGTCTCTACAATATTAAGGCTCTAATTCGGGTGCCTTGTTGCACCGAATTATAATCGAGGAACTTCCAAGAAGTTTTTCTTTCAACTGTTCCAGGGGCCCGATTAAACTATCACGTTCGAGAACCATTGTGTCGTCCAACCAGTATTACGCAAACAATCAAAGTATTTTTTACAGTTTTCTAAGTAAAGCGTAAATTGACACATACTGCATTACATTTTAATTCAGGAATTAGTCAATTAATGAATATATATGATTACTGTAATAAACATTAATAAATAAACAGAAGATTTTGGTTCATCTTGTGCATACATTAAAAGGGCTCATCTTGTATGCTTAATATACATATAATATATATAAACCAAATATGTTTCGTCTAAATTCTTGAATCGCTTTGTAATCGTTTTTTAAACGATGACCCTCTCAATTTCGAAAAGGGAAGCAGCTAATATAGGAAATTTATGCCAGGCAATAGAAACCTCGCAAAATTCCCCTTCTTCGCTTAAAGTGGCTCAAAAAATACTCTGACGCCCCTTCATGCAAAAGGAGTAGGTCAGTGATTCTCATCTTAATTTCATTCATTATTTTAGATTCAGGGAGTAAAATTAAGCTGAGTGATATTAACTACACACAGCATTTTAAATATGGAACTGTAGAGGTATTTAAATGCAGTTTTTCTTTATGTTGACCTCGGCAGAGCTTGAAGCATACATTCGATAAGCTTGTTAATTTTAATTCCCCATCATTTCCAAAATAATTAAAAACCTCACACAGTTCAAAAGTGTTGACAGCGATTTCAATGATTATCTCTATGGTCAATCATCTCGAAAGCTGAAAACAATTTTGGAGTATCTAAGTATGGCATTTTTTTGATCACTATAAAACTAGTGCCGTTTATAAACCACGTAGCATTGGGTTACCTAGGTTGGGCCAGACCAGCTTGGATTATACTAGATTCATATTAAAACGTTCTTTTGAAAGTAATATTTAGATCCGATCTTTTGTTCTAATCTAAAATCGAAAAACTTTTGATCTAAAACCGATAATTTCTTTTCAGCTAAACGGTCGAACTTTTTTATTTTACAGAAAGCGTTTAAGAACTATAAACTTGAACATATTTCATAATAGTAATATTTTAAGTTCAACATAATTGTGAATTGAAAATAACGCCTAGTCGTAGAGCTATAAATTCGCATCGTTTCTCAGCTTAGATCGGCCTGCGACACCAAGTCTGGCTCGTTCCTTTCACTTTGGTGATGGAGATTTATCTAAATTTTACAACGAATTGTTCGAAAATCACTTAGTAATAGATGTTGCGAATGTATCCGGTTGTTGCCATATATCTGCCTAATAAGAACTGTGATATTGTTTTTCAAATATGACTGATGCGTTCGATGCTTCCTGGCAGCAGGTAAGATGCCAGAATAATATAAAATCGACGATTAAATAATAATATAAAGAAATATAAAATGAGGTAAATTATTGACTGTATACTTTATTCGAATGTATCGTTCTGCCTCACCCCGGTGCCCCACTTCCCTTAAAAGTGCCCCATCGTCGAATAATGTGCGGCACAGAAGCGTTCAAATAGATAAAGTAGATGATTTATTGTGGAGTATACTCCCTCCATTTTTTAGAATACTTTTGATATGCTGTTTATTTGTTGTAGCTCTGTTCGATATACACTTAAATTTCTGACTTAGGGATACATGCAAACTCATCTCAATAGACCCAGTTCCAATCAAAAAGAGATGGTATTCGATAACATTTTCTTTGACGTACCAAGCTTATATAAGTATCCATGACCGCGGTTATCGGAACCTTTTCAGTGTCAAATGTACGGTTACTAATTTCGTTTTCCAATGATCGAAAAAGTTAATAATTCGTCGGAGCGAGGCCTGATGAAAAAAACTGTCACTTAAGATCGTGCAGAATGGCTCAGTCTATGAGGCATACAAACTTTAAAATTTTGAGAGAATCCCGTAGATCTAAGGTATTTATCGATAGTCATATGACTGCAATTCAAATTTTCACCAGATTTACGAATCGCTTGTCGGTTGTTTTCATTCAAAGGCGCTTTTAATCGG